GGGCCAGAAAGCCATATTCATTTCCAGGACCCATCTTGGGCTGGTAAAATGCAACAGTGGCACTTCACAGGCTTGAGCCTCCAGATTCAGTGTAGCCTGTAGTGATTTTTCTGGCAACATTTCATTGACTATCATTTTGTATAAATGATCGTAATTAACAAACTTTTTATCTATGCTACTGAAACTGCTCTTCTTTTGAGTGCACGTAATTTCTATTAGTAGTAATGGGAATGTCACACACACACACAGAGCAGGGTAGAACGGCCCCTGAAGTGTTCTAACAGCAATATTAATTTCTCCTGGTGGGTGACTTTGTCGTCATAACAATAATAAAGCTACAGTACTTTATAAAATGCAAAAGGTCTCTTGAAGGTTGGTACAGGCTGTTATTCTAACCAATTACCTTTGTGAATTTTCATCCAAATGAGAAAAATCTGGTAACTGAGACATACCCATACAAGGTTCTAGACTTTAAAGTACAAGAGACTTTAAAGTACAAGCTGAAAATACTACCTAGGTGCCTTTTTTTTTTTTTTTTTTTTTTTAAGAGCAACTGTTTAACAAGCAAAAGACACAAAGAAAATCAATGGGAGATGTGCTGCTAATTCATCAAGGCAAAGTCACCATTTGGAAAAAACCTCCACCTTTTATCACTGTCTAGATAATCCTGCTTTTGCAAAGGGGATCTAGTTGCTCAGCTAAACACTAAGGTAACTGAAGTGGAAAATAGTACATACTCCACGTCTTCAGGTGTAGGAGTCTCATTTCCATGCAGTGAGAATCCCTGCAGCCATAACCTTCAAAAATCATCTGCGTGAACTCAACATAACCAGCATATTCCAAATTCCACTGTAAGCAGATCCATTCTGAGTCTGCCCAGAATTATTACCACAATGCAGTGCTTGGGGACACTGTGCTGTGAAAAGCAGTCCTTTAAGTGACATTACTACAGTTTAGAAGCATTTATTTATCCTAAATAGTTAAAAGTTTGTTACAGGATCATCTATATTTCAATAGATACAGACGCATCTGTTGTTATAACAGAAGTCTTAACTGTTCTCTTACCTCAGGGTCTGTTCAGCCTGCAAGCAAATTGTTAGTCTTCAAAGACATTTTCTGTTGTTGTAGGTTTGTTGAACTAACCCTTGAGAAAATTTACAGCAAATGTAAAAACTTGATTCACTCTCTTTAGGTACAAATTCTAACACAAATCCTTGAAGATAACAGACTTAGAGGTAAATGGAAAATGGAATAAAATCTACCATGGATTTAACAGGGTTGTAGGATGCGAGAGAAACTTTGCAGGGATTTCTATTAAGATAATTTATTTTCTAGATAAAGAAAAGTCCATTAATCTAGTTTATATATCAAAGCATTTCTTTTGATACCACAGATATTTCCTTATCTACCTGGAGAAGATAAGGAACTGGCTAAAGAGTGAACAGTGGCACTTTCTGTTCAAAACAAGATGGGATGGAGTTCCTCACCAGTCAGTCTTGGTAGTGTTCAACTATGGCTTTGCAAAGAGGCACACAGAAAACCTCAGCACAGGGAACAGGCAGCACCTCATGACCTGAGCCTGGGAGAGTAACAGTGAGTGATGTTCAGCAGCACAAACTTCAAGGCCATTCTCCGAGGTAGAATCGGTAAGAACATACACTATCAGCAAGGAGGCACGAGCTGAAAAAAGCAAGCCTAGAATATTAGTCAAACACTTGCCGACTGTGAATTGCTAGCGTGATACAGCTATGAAAAAGGCAAAAGCAACATAGGCTGTAGAAAGTGAAGTATTTGCAGCAGAGATGGGGAAGTGCTAATGACACTCTAGAAAACTGGCAATGGCAGATGTCAAATAAAGTGCATAATTCTGGCAATCCTTGTTCAAAAAAAGATTCACCTAAATTGCAAGGGATGCAAAGAGGGGTACAAAGACAGGCAGAGAAAAAAAGGAAATGAAGAGGCCATGGTGGTTTTATGCCTACTGAAATGTCACCTGGGTGAAGGAAAATACATCAGGGTCATCCTAATGAGGGGAGAAAAGAACACAGTTAAGAAGTGAGATATAGGTATAATCAGGACATGAATCAGTTCGGTGCGGATATTAGAATAATATCTCATCAGAGGAGTGTCTGCAACAATCTTTGTTAGAAATTGTATGGCAAAACATTGCCACTTTAAGACAAAGGGGATTACTTTCTGAACCAGACTGTAGGAGACAGTGCCTGCCCAAACAAAAGCCTGGACATGATGACCCACGGGTTTTAGCCCCATAGAAGCTTAACAGTGGGATGCAAATGGAGGTTTCTAAGAGATTGCAAGTATGCTGCTTACAAAAACCGCTCTTCTAGAACAAGTAGATAAACATAAACTAAGCCATTTACATAGAGAACACACCAAGAATCTCGGACGCTGATCTCTCCTACTAACAGAGCTGCTGGCAAAGACTTTAATTTTGCTATCGCTCAGCAGAAGGGCAATGCTGGTGTCAGGTGCCAGACAACAGCATTAGAAGAAGCCGCAATCCTCCAAAGAGAGACAGGCATATATTACAACATTTGTGAAATGAGTCAGAAAAAGCTGTAAATCAACCCAAAATCCTCTGGAACGAAGCTGCTTTAGGAATATAAAATCTCTGTCATGGGCTGAGGATCTAGGAAGGAAAGTCATTCATCTGGGCTGTATTTCATAATCTCATGCTATCAAACTTATGTTGTAGTTTCCCCCTTCCTCAGTGGCAGCGAAAGCACCTTCCAGGTGGCTATTTGCAAGGCATGTAACATACTGTACCTCTTTTGGGCAAGTATGATACATGCCTTGAATGGGAAAGACTTAATTAGACATAAGAAGTTTTGGTTCTGGTCTCAATTCCACCACAAATCCAGTGTATGACCACTGGCAAGTAACTTGTTTTCTTTGTGTTTATCTTCAAAAAAGAGAAAAATAATAACCTTTCTCTAAAACTTTTGTTTATCCACTTAGAACATCTCAGCAATGGTTTTTACTATGGCTTTGCAGAGCACTTACCTAAATAAATAAACACCAGTTATGGGTCAACATTGTACAAATAGTAAATGAAAATGATCTTCACTGATGATATGGTTGAATACATATGCACAGAAACAGTAGAAATAGTAAAGGTAATTTTAAAATTTAATCAGAAAATTGAAACAATGGAAAAATATTAGGAATGTAGAGCTCATTAGAGCAAGCAGGGTCTATTAACTGTTCAGCTGTCCAAGCATAGAGCAGAAAATCTCTTGTTTACTTATCACCGAGTACAATGACCACTATGATCCCAGCTGCAATCAAATACATAATTGAAAGTGAACTAAACCAGAGAAATCAAAAAAACGAAAAACACAGGGCCAGATCTTCCCACCACTGACTTCAATGGAATTACCTGGCTGAATACTCCCACTCACTCCAGCAAATCAAAAGCTAACAATTATTACTCTGAACAGCTTCACACTGCTGATGCTATCTTTCCCATAAACTAGAAAGCTTATGCACAATGACCTAAATTAGCAGAACACACTCTTTTTTTTTTTTGGCTTTTCTGTCTATATAAAAATTAGATATACATTGTTACCCTAATATTTACATAAAGCATAACAATGAATTCAGTAGCTGGCTCAGCAGCAGTTCATCTGCATGATAGCCGTCTGCATCGTTGCATTTTAACCTGTTTCAATGCATTTTAAGTCACAAAATGATGTAATGGGGAACAGACTGGCTACAGCTTCACCTCTACTTACTGTTCTATTTGTGAAGACTGATGACAAAAAAACTGTAACAGGCAAATAAGAAAAACAGTATGAAATGCATCTACAATAATATGGAACAATTATGTGTCACAAAATGTAACCACTTGGAAATTCAGTCTGTCAAGGAACTGGACATTTAATTATTATAATAATTCTAAACAAGAACTAATTGAAAGTGAAGATTCACTTTTATCTAGAATTTTGCTTATGAATTTTAAGTATGTTACCTATTAGGATAAAACCAAAGCTATGAAAATCCAAACAAATTACCCTCCTTCCAGTAAGCCTTCCTTATGCAGTACAAGCATGGTCTCCTTTTTTTGAGGCATCTGAATGAATATTTCTAGCTAATGGCTAAATTCTTTTCCATATCTAGATTCAAAGAGGCAAGGAATACGTATAACTTTGCTATTCCCCTAGAGAATGGATTTATTTTAGGACAAGAAAATCTATGTCTACTTTCAAATTTTGTCTCTTCCTCATGCTTTCCTGCCATCACTTATGAATGTAAAAGTTAAACTACCTAGAACTATCTAAGGAAATAAATCTAATTGCACAGATATAACCAAAGTATGCCTTACAATAATTGCTACTGATTTCTAAGTTCCATCTTTTCACCTTCATACAACCTTGATAGCTAGTAAATCACAGCTGAAAATACATTAAGACATAATTTACTGTCCTGTCAACTCACTTAGCATTGGGATCAGCTTTGTATTTTTATGTTGTACTGTATGTGAGAAGTATCTCAGACCAATCCGTAGAATCACAGAATCATAGAATCAGTTAGGTTAAAGACCTTTTTTGTTGTACTGTATGTGAGAAGTATCTCAGACCAATCCGTAGAATCACAGAATCATAGAATCAGTTAGGTTGGAAAAGACCTTTAAGATCATTAATATCAGTTCTAACATAAGCGTTTTCTTTCTATGACCCCCTAGGTTACATTCATGATCTAAACTCATTTAGAACAATTTTACATATATTAGTGTCATTAAGAAAGTCTTATCCTTGATGCACCGCAGAAGTTCAGGTGTGTTCTTCCACGAATTTCTGCCAGGTGTCAGGTCCTTGGGAATCCAAGGTGCATTTCAGGTAGAACCAAATCTCCTTGCTTTTTCTTGTGAAATTAAAATGTACCATTCTGTATAGCAAAATCCAGGTTCAGGAACTGCAGCCACAGTTGAAAGGAGAAGTATTGTCCTTTTCACTGACTAATTTTGCAAGTTCAAAGAATTAAGTCAATAGCATCATCACAAAAAAGGGTCTCTGTGTAACAGCCAAGCAACAGTTGCACATGCCATTGTTCTGGCAGGGAGCCACAGGTTTATTCTTTGCTACCGTGTTACCTATAAAAGAAGAGGAAAGAGTTACCTACACAGAATCGATCAAACAAGGATGATAGCATGTGCTTTGTTGCTGCAAAGGAACTGTACACATGAATACATCATGAATGAACTTGCCCCAGCCATACCTACATACCTTGCACAGAAACAGAATCTATATGCAAATGTTAATTACACTGTTATTCAATAGTATAAGGGAGATTTGCAGATTAAAAAAAATGGCCGTTTACTACTAAATTTGCCACCATCATCTCATGGAAATCTCCTGCTTTATGTTGTTTAGCATCATTTTCAACACCAATGCCTACAGCACAAGTGTACGACTTACATCCCAAAGGACCATTCACACAAACCGCTACCCATTCCCAGCGGTCCATCCTATGGGAGGGAACTGGGGATCAGACAGAACATGGTCTGCAGAGGGGATGAATTGTTCTTGCAGGAGAAGCCACTCCCAGACAGCGCGTCTCCCACGGGACCCTGCAGTCTCTTCCCCTTACAACCACATGCACACTCAGTCAGGTGCTTCAGGGATGTATGCGCAAGCCTTAATGCGCACACAGAGTGAAGTGGAAACCCAGTGGGTTTGGCTTCACAGCGAGGAGGGGTCATGTCAGGTTTCCCATCCTGGAAATGGATGAGAATAGGCAGCCTGCAAGGAGGAAAGCTTTGTCAGCTCTGCTCTGTAGTGTCTAGATGTGTTACAAAACTAAACAGACACTCAGCATAGGGAAGTTTTTATTTCCTTCCCTGAGGTAACTGATGTAAGATACGAGCTCTTCAGCTTTTCACGTCTTAACTGTCCCATTCAGCTACTAACTATTCATCTAAATATTGAGTAGCGTCAGGAGTCTCCTGTGCTTCATATACTTCAAGTTACTCTAATATTTTCACGAAATTAAAAGATAGAGGACTTAAAATTGATTAAATGGCATTTCCTCTTTCAGTGTATAATTAACCTGTGGAAGTCATTGTCCCAACTAGCACTGATCCCAGGGTCTTAGAAAGCTTTAAAAATTGATTAGAGGTTTAAATGGTAATGAGATCATCTTTGCTACATAACATAGAAAAAAAATTTAATATGCAATGGATCTCAACTCTCATGATTTAGACATAAGCCAACTATTAAATTGGAAGAATTCCACGTATGTGTACATTTTCTATAATTGTCCACATGGGTTTTGCTGTGTCTTTCTGATTTAAGTACCCCAGCACTGAAACACACAGGGTGTAGTATGGTTTGGACTACTGGTCTGACAGTTCATAGAGTCCTCTGTGTAAAGTTTTAATAATGCATTTAATACATATTTTGTTGATTAAGCTGAGTTTGGACAAATCTTTGGTTCATTTTTTAAATAAAAAAAAAAGTTATATCATACTTTCCTTTTCCCTATAACAAGGGAAATTTTCCTTCCATTCTATTTTCTTTCCAGTTCAGTGTTACCTGTGCCACAAGTTTCTGTTCAGAATCTGGAGTTACCATTACTCATTATATTTGTGCAACAACTATATCTTGGTAGACAGAGAAAACCACCCACAAGACAGACAAAATACCTACAGAGGAAATACGGATGCCAGGACAGATTCTGTAGCACAGCTTTTGCTGTCTAGCAAGCAGAAATCTACATGTAAGCTTGTCATCCAGGGCTTCCTTAAGGTACAGGAGAGAGAAAGAACTACTTGTGAGCACACTCTTGTGGATGGGCACGGTCATGCTGCGAGATCACCCATTTATCCCCGCGTGACTTTGGAGAATCTGAAATAACTCAGCTTGGATGGAAACATGCCTGCAGCTGGGCACAATGAATCCCACCCACAAAACCTTGGACAAATCATGTCCTTTCTTACTTGGACCAATAAAGATGACAAACTTCAGGATTTCAGACTGATTCTCAAAAGGTACAACACTAAAAGCTAATTACAGGAGTACAACAACTTGGTCATAGTATGACAAGTCCTCAGCTTTTAGAAGTGTCACTACTACTGAGGATATAGCTATGTTAAATCTCAGCCTCCAAAAGTAACTCTTCAGGGTTCACTTACTAACAACACAGGTAAATGCATGGAAAAAGCTTTTATGGGTCAAAATTGAAATATTTAAAAGCATGAAAGTAATTATTTCCCTGAAGTATCCACACATAAAACACATACAGCAAACAATGGAGGAATTTCTAGCAAAGAGTAATTAAAATGGGAGGGACTGAGACACCTTTTTAAGGGATCTGCCCTTTAAGGAAGTCTGCCTGTTCCCTTCTCTAACATGGCCAATCACTAGTTAAAGGTTAGGACTCTCTTGTGTCATTTCAATGTAATGTTTAACCACTAACTTTGCTATTCATCTCTACATTTATATTGTTGCAGTACTCCAAGACCCCAGTCAGAATCATGATCTCCCTTATGCTGTTGCTAACCACATGCACAAGAAAATACAGTCCTACCTTAACATGCTCAAATCTAAAACAACACAGGGCAGCGAAAGAAAAACAAAACCGTGCAAGGAAAATGAACAGTTCTCATGTTAGTAATACAGTAGAATGATTCACACCTAAGCACAAGTGCCAATTGTTTGCTTATCCTTTCAATTAAATGCCCCTCAAAGAAATCTCCTGTGGTGATAAAAATCAGTGCAAAATGCATTACTCCATATCCCAGCAAAGTAGAGGAAGAGTTTAATGAAACAACATTTGCACTCATACTGCTACACTCTGCCCTCTGTTAGACTCACACAAACTCACTGGAGTTGATGAATTTGCACAGGTCTAATTGCAGGCAGAATGATTTGTCCCACTCTAGCTTTATAAAGACATCCCTAAACTCATCAGAATGCATTACCATATTCTGTAGTTTGCTGGTTGCAATATTTGTCATGGATAATAAAATAAATGATCCGTGCCAAATTTGCCCTTCTATTAGTAAACTCCCACTGACTCAGGCTGCCTCTTTTCACTCTTTAAGAGCGAGAGTCATGAACACAGGCTTTATGACTCATGTGGTCAGTTGACCTCAATGAACTGAAAGGCAACTGCTCCTAGGAAGTGACAGCTGCATGAATGAGGACTTGACGCCTCAGGCCTTCAGTCATCAATGCCAACATAACGTTTGTTCTTCTACCCTTCATCCCTCTAGTATCTATTGAAGGCATCAGGGACACTTAACCTTGGCTTATTCTTTTCCAGTAAGGTCCTTTTGGTATAAAGTGCCAGCTCTCTTCTGGTATGTCCAGAGATGAAGTTGTCTTATTCAACATCTAAAACTCCTACTTCGCCAGTCTCACCCTGCAGTGTGATTCTACACCACCACCCTTTATCTATATATGCGTAGTTAAAAGTCAGTGCCTGTGAAAAAATTTAAAGGCTGAGGGTAATCTATACCTTCCAATTACTGATGGCCAGTTACCCATACTGATTCTAGAGTGTGCAGGTCAACTTTTGGGTGTAGTATCCGTCACAGGAGAACAGCTGGACCTAGGCACACCATAGGCTACATCTTTGGCATTTGATAAATAACATTGATTTCCAACAATTCCTCTGATCTTAAAAACAGGAATAGGGTTTTTCGGACTGGTTGGTTTGGTCAGAATTTTCCAGCGAGCCTGCCAACATGCAATGTCTGTAACTGGGCTTTAGACCACCAATATCACACCACAGCTGCCCAAACCGTCTAATTTTCTCTCTCTCATCCAGAAATTAGTACAGTTTTCACTCCTTAAAACAGCCATTACTAAACATTTGGTGTCAGTATTTGCTTATTAACTCAGACTGTAACCTAATCAACAACATTCATTCCCAACTAGAAGAAGCTGTAAAGGGAAAAGCTAAGCATATGTCTTTCCTTGCTATGCCTGCTAAAGACTCCTGTTTTATGATACATTTAGATATGCAGTTCACTATGACTTGTTGAACTTCAACGCACTGAACTCATTTTAGATTGCTAAGCAGACAGAGGACATGATATTTTCTCTCTGCTGGCCATTAATTAAGAAATAGGATGGCATAGCAAAGTTTTTTTTTTAAAAACGGGCAGTCTACAGGATGGCCTGTAAACAGAACTGATCTGAACCAGCCTGATTTCCAGTTCCCACCGACGTCGGTGCAGATTCTCAACAACTCCCAAGACAGGTTACTTCTTTCAAAAGCTAAAAGGGCTTTCCAGTGGCACAGGAATGTAACTTTAGGTGACAGTGGTAAAGACCTTGGATCCATGTACTCAGTCTGCAGATTGAAGAACTGACCCTGGAACATGATTATCCCTCTAGCGCTGGTCACAACTGAATAGTTTCTTTGCTCACTAAAGACTGAAGCAGGGCCTTCAGTTTGACTCCAGCACCCAATAACTTAACTAGGCTGGCAGTGAAGGGGCAGTTCTGACCCAACATTACCCTCTCTGAGAACAATTGCATTAATCATCGCTTTCCAAAACATTGAGGAGTCCAGTACTGGTGCTCACACCCACAGATGTAATGCAATAAGCAAGTGCTATCAGCAGACTGCCACCTTTAAATATAGGCGATCTCTGTACTTGCCTTTGTGGTTTTGACTTTATTTCCACTGCTGCAAGACCAACCTGAATAGTCTGGTAGTACTTTACAGTCCTCTCCATCCAAACAGGGGTTCATATGACACCACCACCTCTGTAGGACAATGGAAGCTAGAAAAAGAAATAGGAAAGAGAAACAGAATACGATCTTTTTTTTTTATTACTGTTGGTTTTAGTAGGGAGGTTGTCTGTGTGATGTTCAATTGTTTGATTGCAAAAGGTAGAACCAACAGTTACTGTTTTAATAGCTTATCACACTGATAGTGTTTAAGCTAAAAATGTGGCTAAAAAACTTCACCAGCACACAGAAGGGTAAATGCCATATGCAAATGGTGAAGACAGGCAAGCACTGCCAGCGACTGACTCCAACATTTGAATTGACCTCTGGAAGTGCCTTTCCATCTCCACTGACTACAAAGATGACTTGCCTCCTTCATTTACATGCTTCAGTCAAGTACCTGCTGTAAGGTGGGATGAAACTAAGGCTTCTTGTTTAACCCAAATATGCATATGCGAGACTGGATGAAGAAATGCTGGTTTCTCCCTTCACTGGGTGAGAAAATAGAATTGCACAGAGGTGTAAGCATGTGAGGTCTGTCAGCAAATAGTGAAGATAAGAATGTGGAAACCACTGGAAAGCATTAGATTATTAACTAAAAATCTACTTGCAGTTAACACTGCCAGTTTTGCAGTATGTTTTGGAAGACTACAGTAGTACACCTTAACTGTGCAAATTTATTAATTTTCTACCCTTAAGCCAATTTCCATTAATAGGACCGTGCTTGTTATTTTTACAAATGTAGTCATGACTTTCTAATACTGCTGTTAACAACAGATATACTTTCCCACAAACAGCTGCAAACATCTGCATGCATTTCTGTTTTGCATTGTTCATGGGATTCATCAAATCCCAGAAAATTATTATGAAATGTATCAGTTCACAATATTACATAATCTAAATTGGATTTCAAAATAAAATACAGCTTAAAATGTTGATTTAGTTAGTCTGCATTATGCTACTATGTGCACAAAATATTGAATTGCATGCTTTAAAATATACCACATCCAAAAGAGATGAACAAAAATAATTTAGTCTACTTCTTGTAAAGCACTTTTTTTCCTTTTAATTTCAAGGTAGATTCATACTTCTGCAACCTTCAAATGAGAGTGACAAGCAGGCAAGCTGACGTCAGGATATTGCTGAAATGTTCATTCAATTACTTTTGTTTTGCACTTTCACTCTAAGCCTACATGAAAAGCCCTATGAAAAATATACTTCTGGAACACCAGTTGGGCTTTTATAAACTATTCTTTCAGTCTTATAAAATTATAAAATAAATGCATGATTCCTTTCACCAGTCATTTGGATCTTAGTTCATTTGCATTGATCCTGATTGATTGTTGACAAAACGGGTGAAACTTGGCTGTGTCTCCTAGGAAGTGAGGGATCATTTCCACTCCAGACAAATGGTCCAGTCACCTATTTTATCTATTTTATCTCTGCTACATTCTAAAGTTGTTTCAATTTCTATACCACATTTATTTCAGGTAAACACGAGCAAGTCTAGAAGGCCAGATTCAAGAAGACTGAAGGCATGCGCAGAGGTCCCTAAGCAAGCAGGAGATCCTAGCGGCAAGCTAGCTGTGTCTTCAGAGCTCTGCTTCAAAGCCAGCGAGTCCTCCTGGAAGGCCTGGCTACCACATGACACAGCCCTGCACAGTGCTGTTGTGAGTGTGGACGTGGTGACATGCTGAGACTCCGTCTGCACTCTGACATGTGAACATGCTTTCATGTATTTAGTGCTACCCTAAAAACATAAGTTCAACTTCAGACCTTGAAAGCCACCTCTCACTCACCTGTCTCCTGCAGGTACCTAGAATCCCTTGTGCCTCAGTTACTCTGATAACTCCTTAGATCCAACCTTTTTCATATTGGTTTGGGTGCAATATGTTTTGAGACCACAGAAAACGCACCAAACGTGGCAGTTTTTATTTATCTATACAACCTGCATCAACCTGCTCCTAACACCTGGTTAAAGGAAAAAAGGCATTAGTTGACTGGCCAAAAGTGCAGCACAGGAGTGGGTTCACACAGCATTCTTGACCAATTGCGCCCATGCAACTTCCTGGTCCATATGGACCATGTGGAACTGAAGATAGTGAAACTGGCCCATCATCTCCAGCAGTACCATCTTCCATTAAAACAAGCACAGACGTGAATGGGAAACATTGCTGAGTTAATCTGTAACTCAAACAAGATCCACAAGCTCTTCAATAGACTGAATATTTCACCTTCTATTCATCTTTCGTTTAGACACTTTCGTAGAAAGTGACTCCTACCCTTCTGTTGACTGATTTCTATTCTGTGCAGATACCTCTCCTCAGAGTAATGGCAACACTTTGAAATACTTAATACAGATCTCATTCCATTAGCTTCCAGCAAATCCCCAATTCTTTGCTGTAGCAATCCACTAATTCTTACATTCATTTTATGTCCAATTTCTTTGTAGTTGTAATGTCCACTCTCCTGATCTATATATCCTAACTGGCTGTAGCTGTTTGTGTCAAACACACCCCTGAGATTAGTCCATTAAAATTCTCCATCAGAGCCTTAGGCTCATCTTCATAGCTAGAGTTCTTTAACTATCATTGTCCCTGTAACTGTGCAATTCACTGGAGGATATAAAGGCTTCCCCTTCTTTTCAGATTGAGGCACTCTTGGAAAGGTTTCAACAGGTGACTTTTGTAAGAAATGAGAGCAGCTATGTCACTCTCATACACAGCCACCCTCATGAAGGGAAAGGAGACTGCTTTGGTTTGACATTAGCCAGCTGATTTGCTGGAAATCAGTCAGAAACCAGCCAGAAACCCTGCCAGAAATAAATCTTCTGCTGACATTGCTCCCTAGATAACCTGACTCCATGGAAACTGTAGGTTCATAGAGAATAAAGCCAAAAGGTGTCAATACATCATCTCATCTTATCTGAAGCAATTCACTGTGTTGTGCCCCTAGTTGTGTTTGGCTACACAGTGTCGTCCAAACCAATCTGGAACAGGTGAAGAAAGAAACTTCGCCCATTGTAATTTTTTCTGACAGTTAAACCATCCCAGCATGAAACACACAGCCTTAGTTTTCTTCCTCTTCCCACCTCTTCTGTTGTGCTTTCTTCTCCTACATTACAGCACCTGTTAGCAATCATCATTTTCTCCCTGTGAAGGTATTGAACGTGCTGCAACCCAGTAACTTTTCAATCTTCTGCCTGATAAGCCAAGCTGATTGAACTTCTTCAGTTTCGCACCACAGTGCATTTGTCTTTATTAATGCAGTTATTTCAAACAGGTTCAACTTCTTGTGAGTAGGACCATGCCACGTGACTGCCTTGGGCTTGTCATTAATTACTCCTTTGCCCCACTGGATGAAATCCATACATGTTTTTGTCAGGAGAGATTCTATATTTGCTTTTCGGTCACTGCTGACAATGTTGCAGAGTATCAGGTGTAGAACTAAGCACTGTGAAATCCCAGTGGGTATGTGCCATCTGACTACCACTTCCTACTGATGACTCTGCAGAGAGACGTTTTTGAAGTATGCCAGGTAACTGACACTGAGCAGCGCACACAATGGCATATCGTTCAAAATTAAATAGCTTACAAAAAATAAGACTTAAATCCTCAAATGTATTTAGTAACCAAATCTTTAGTTGAATAAATTATACATAATCTTCCGAGGTAACTTGGAAAATATGGGCTTACGTGAAGAAACTACCTGTATTAGTCTTGAAAACTCCTCAGGAAATTAAATCAGTTGTGTCTGGCAAATCTCTTTTCAGAAAGCCACATAAACTCTGGTGACCTGTACCCCAGGAATTCCTTGCTAATTGGATACCGTATCAGCTTCTCAGTTATTCGCACAGGACTGAGACCAGCCTCAGTTGTCCCTAAGTATCTAGACCATGTTGCCTACCCTCTCAAAATCGACACAATACTAGTGCTCTTCTAGAATACCTCAAGTATTCTGAAATACATTTTGAATTACAACAACTGACCAGAGATCTATTAGCCAGCTTGTTAGGACTCTAAACTACCCAGGGTCAGAATTAAAAAAACAAAAAAAAAAAAAAAAAGTTTAATCCCAGTAGATGTTGGTTAGCACCTTTTTTAGTTAACAATAAATTAGAAATTACCTCCCCACCTGTTTCTTACCAAAAGAAGAGCTGTGATACTGACCCACCTCAGCATTAACAATGTCAATATTTCACACATTATGGGCCAATATTTTTTTTTTTTAAGGATTTCTGTGTGTTCTACTCGAACAAGCAAATTCTTGTTGTCTTTAGTCTGGACAAATACAGATGTCTTTCCTACTCTACTGGACTAAGCTTTCTTCCATATAAGTTTTCAGTACACTATTCACTCTACCGTATATTTCCTTTTTTTCTTTGAATACTGACACAGCATTAGCATCCTTTTGAATTCTCAAGTATTCTGAAATCCATTCAAAAACAGTGGGAGGGGAATCTTCTCAGCTATTTCTTCTTTTAGCTATTTCTTGTGCATTGATTTTTTGTTTTCTTGTTTCTGTATGCTCTCTTCCCTTCAGTCTGGAACCCAGATGGGCTTTCAGCCAAAATTGTCCTTTTTCTTCATTGCGGCTCTTTGGCCCTACAGAAAATTCTTAAACAATTCTTTAGTCCCATTCACATTTTTTCCAATCTGAGTGTTTCCTCCTCATAAATTCTAGGACTAATAGAATTGCCCGGATGGAAGATGATTTGGCCAGTGATGATTTACTTAGAGGTATTTAACGCACTTAGCTAAGATAGCTACTCTACAGACAAAAGTTATTAATATTTTATCTTCTTGGCAGTAGCTGTTAGACAAGCTGGAGGTACTTACTCAAGGATGTTTATTTCCATAAAGAAAATCGGTATAAACAAAATCTCATGACTACTTTAAATGTGATTTAGTGATTGACAGAAGAACGGGTTGACCTTTGCTAAGCAAAATTTTCTATAGCTGCAGTCAAGTCATATAGCTACAACTCAAGGTAGGGTATACAGGCTGTGTGGTATGTCCTCTCTGCCTATTTGAATACTTTCCTTCATATGCTCTGTTTTTTTCCTGAGTTTAGTGGCTCAATTTATCTACAGCAACATTTCTCAAAGTATCGGATGGGCCTGTGCTTGGAAGCTCAAATAACCCCCAGGAAAATGAGGTGTGCATGTGTACAGAAGAACTAGCCTTGCTTTTTTTGTTTGCCAATGCTTGTCAATAGCTTTCACAACTATGTTCAAATACACAAATGACAGTTTCTTGTGGGATGCATCCAAAATGCAATTATCTAAGTAAGTGTGTTACCATGGGCAAAGGATAAAAAAATATCCTGACCCAAAGAGTTCTTGCCCTGTACTCTCATCTAGGCTATGATGACTGATTTTACTGTGCTTGTAAAAATGCTGGGAAGATCTCAGCCTATAACATCGATTTTTCATTTTCATGTCCTTCTTTTTAAAATGAAGTACTTTGACTTCTACTACTACCGATATTTAAAGTTTCCAAGATGAAAGACACTGTAGAAATGCAAAGGACTCTATAAATGTTAGTTAGGCCCCACAACACAGTAAGTATTACTGCACAACATGGAAAAGGACCGATTCGTAGCAGTCAAGGCACTTAAGACTTTCACTTTATATATTTGCAAGATTTAACTAGCTTTTACTTTCCTTTCTGCACCACTTCAACACCTTTTCCTTGGAACTCACCTGGATATCTATCATTTCTTTTGTAACACCAAAGTACTTAGTTTCGTCCTTAGCACATACCATGAGAAAAAATGTCATTTCTGTGTGTAAGTGTATGCCTGAATGTAATTATGCAAACATCCATTCTGACTTGGCTCAAATAGGGGGCCTTCCCAAAATTTTGGTAGCTGTGAATATTGGTACACGTATTCACTACCTCTTTGAGCAGGGCTTAGCCTTAACATATAGTGCTGCTCCAATAAACCGCTGCTCTAAATCTGACCTTGTCTAAAATTCTTTAGCATCTGTCAACCTATTTCAAAATGTAAATATCCAGCTGGCCTCTGACTGTATCCTAAAAAACATGATGATGGGCTTTATAAACCTATTTCATGGCCTATATATACAAAAGGGCACAATGCCCAATACTCATCAACAAGGAGCTCTGTCTGATGAACCAGCCTCTACCCCCACCCAAATTAACAAACAAGCTGTCACTGAAACCCAGTGGGATCTAGGTCAGGAAACAGCCCCGCATTCAGTAAAAAGGTGCTGGGAAAGAAAATGAAATGTCTGTATCGGACTGAAATAGGCAAATTCAAGATGTAAACTGTTTCTGGCTTCCACAGTGTAGAAGCCTACTGAAGGATATGTATAGAGTGGGAGAAAACATATCTAATCCTGAGGCTAAGGAAAGATAGTTATAGTTTCCGTGCTACAGCAACTGAATAGCACTGACTGTAGTCCCATATGCTTGCAGAAGTAAGCGAAGCATGTTACAGCATTACCCTAAGGGGTGAGGGGGAATCAAAGGCTTCCACTTTAGAAACCAAAATCTTATATTCATAATATTTTGTTGTATTAAATTTCAACTATACTTGAAGAAAAAACAGCTACTAAATTCTTTCAGCAACTATTTGCATTGACAAACTGAATTAAGCTTCTATGGTATCGTGCATTTATATCTTTCTATCATGGAAAGACAGTGTCACCCTTGCAATCCTTAAGCGAGTTTAAAACAATGCCTGACTTCTATTATCTGTTGTATGTAAAAGTACTTCTGCTGTTTAATGTGTCACCTAAAAATACAGAAGGTACTTCTGATTGACAAGAAAACTGCTTAACAGATTGCACAGTTAAAGTTGATTGTGTTCCTGAATTACAAGGCATGAAAAGACTAAGCATCAAAAAAAAAAAATCTATTTTCTTAAATAAAAGGTTCTCAAAACAGATAATAGGTTAAAAAAAAAAAATCAGACATCACGTGTACTTAGAGTTTTATGTTTAAAACTAAATATCTCTGAATGTTAGATTAAAAATTGGATTTTGAAGCTTTTGTTTTATATTTAACTTATAATGGTTGCAATTTTGTGTGAAAAAGAATGAAAACAGAACGGTCTTGCTTATGAATTAATGAAATGGGGGATCTGATAACTTTTAGACTTTTTCTGGGGGGAAAAAAAAAAATAATCTGCCTTGGAGTAACTGTTTACTAAGTTAAGAACAAGAGCAGCAGCCTCTCCAGGGAATAGACTCTGCTGGTAGGAAAAGGAAGAAGGGTAACCCACAGTTTCTGAACTGCTGGTAAGCCAGAGAGGAAAATGGTGGGGGCGAGGTGCAGAGTGCACCTCAGCAATACAAGTTTTATATAGCCTCAGAATGCCTGGTCAGTATTACAATCAAGGTAAGATTTTAGCTTTAGTGTATACAATCAATTTAATTTTGAGTAAGTTATACAGGAAAAAGCATAAGGATGGCAACGTTGAGCTCTGTGAGGATTTCAACATCTATCCAGGAAGGTAATGGACTAACGCAACTGTAGCACATTTTTCCTTCATCAGGTAGGTGACCTAGCTCAGACACTGTGTCCTGTGCAGCACTATGCTTGCTCTGCTCTCCAAACTCTAATGTATTTGGGGTTACAACACATGAAACTGAATAGACATGGGGCATTCATTATAGCACTGATGTCCAACATATGAGACCATTAGGCACATAAAATGGTAAAACATCCATCTAGAGAACAGCTCTCAAAATCAGATCTGCATGCCCAGTCTCAGGGCTGCATTTATTATCCAGTGACTTTTTAGCCAAGCTACTAAGTCTAAAGACAACTGGAAGGGTTAATATTATAAGCTTGAGTTTCTTGGCTTATGCTGTTTTCAGACTAGTTTTAAAGAAGAATTCTTCTGTGAAAAAAAATTAACAAGTTTTATTGGCACAGACATGAAATGTACGAGTACATATATTAAGAGGATTAATTACACCCAGATTTATGCACAGACTCATTATCATCAATGCACAGAGATGTTTCCAAAATTAACAAAAGGAAGGATTATGCTTTTGAGGCAGTGGGAAGTCAAACAATCAAGGAGACTAAACTTCTCAAACAATCTTAATGAACTGTGAGTGAGCAGGAGACTGCTTACCTTCCACGCACGAGGGCTGAGCCCTTGTCGTACCAGCCACCTGCCCTGGGAAGCAGGAGCACTTAACTGTTTGCGATCGTTCTTCAATCCGGTTCTTATTGCAGCAACGATGCACTGCCACAACTTCGCATGTCCCTTGCTTGACTTGGTGCTGGCCTAATAATTGCAGAGATAAGTGATGGAGAGCAAAACAAAACATCAGTGCATGAAGAAAAAGCTAGTTCGTACAGTCCTGCAAGACTGAATCTCTCGAATGCCAGTTTAAATCCCAGGAAGACAAAGGAGCGAAGCACCTTGTAGGATCTGGCTTTTTCCCCCGAGTTTATCCTGTTCTTACTAATACAGATTAGTTCATCATAACAGGTCAATTTTTCAATCTATCTTCCCTGGCCCTTACAAAGCCATAGGGAGAAAAGAAGATCGGAGTAGTCAATTAGATGGATTATACAAGAAGACATGTAGAGACAGAGCCTCCTTTGGCTTCCTGTCTTGCATTAGGTTTTATATTTAATTCTTTCCCTTCATAAATGGACACAATGGACAGGATAATATTTAATGCAAGGGAGACATCTTAAATAGTAGGGAAACTTTCTAACATAACAACATGTAAGCACTGCTTACTATGCCTATCATTGCAGGTAGGCTAAGAACAAGGTAGGCTGAAAAGCTGTCACAGACAGTCAAGTGTTGTCAAAAAAAAAAAAAAAAAAAAAAAAAACCACCAACAACCAAACTATATGGATTTCTTGAGTTCCCTCCCAACCAATCAAAAAAAAAAAAAAAAGAAAAAAAACACCAACAACTAAACTATATGGATTTCTCAAGTTCCCTCCCAGCCCATTTTGAAGAAACCTGTGATAAATATTCTATCCTACTGCTTTCCTCTCACATGCCTTTCCTCACGATTCACTGTCCCCTATTTCTCTGAGTTTATTTTTCCCTTCCTCTCCTTTCCTTGCTCCTGCGTTCACATCTTAGTTCCACTGCTCCTTGCACCTGACCATTTTCCTCCACTGCCAAACTTACTCTTTGCCCTGCCTAAAACCCTTTCTTAGAAACCTCACTTCACAAAACCCCTCTTCTGTTTGCATAAGTCATTTCCACGTCCTCACTTTCCTGAACAGCCTTCAAGTGTTTCATCTTGCATTTGTCTTGTCTTATGTAGAGCAGAGCCTTGGATGGCTCTTATCTATGTTTGTAAAGCACCTTGTAAATTAACAGCACTACAGAACAGGGTGGGTTTTTTAATAAGTGAGCTAGACAGAGAGACAACGCTGAGAATAATAAAAATATTCACCATCAAAGCAGTACAGACTCCTTATATGAGAAGAGACTACGGTGCAGATATCGGTGTAGGTGTGGGTAATATCAAAGGCACAGCAGACTAAAGAAAGGAAGGTGAAAGGGAAAGCACGCTTCAGAAACAGACAGTCCTCCAAGTGGCAAGCCTGGAGGATTCTCCTGTTGTATTATCAAAGGCACAGCAGACTAAAGAAAGGAAGGTGAAAGGGAAAGCATGCTTCAGAAACAAGTCCTCCAAGTGGCAAGCCTGGGGGATTCTTCTGCCTACTCACCTTGCCCTGTTTTGGTTTATTTTTTTCTAACAGTATCTTGTTACTAACTGATACCAGACACACGATTCTGAGATAGAGAACACCTTGGTCTGATGCAATATGGCCAGGCTTACACCCTTATAGATGAAATCTTATAGAGTGATTAAGATCACTGTACTTCTGGGGCAGAAATTTTTATGAGTTGATTAAGTGGGAGATCTTAACCTTCAAAAGAGTTAGCAATGCAATTTAGGCTTGTAAGGAGGTTTTCCAAAAAACGGAGAGTATTCAAATACATATATAACTTTTTAAAAGGTTGGCTTGGCAATGTTCCTTTGCTGTGTGTGTTTTGGTGTCACAAGTATTTCAAGCACAGCTGAAGGTCTGCCTGACTTTTGTTGCCAAATTTGTATTCACAATAACCTCAATGGACAAGAGACTACGTATATGCAACCCTGGAAAGGAAATTTAGTCTTCTGTGCACTCAACATGTAAAAAGAAATTCTATATACAGAGATTTTTTGGGTTTTTTCCTGAGGAAAAAGCTACACTGTACTTTTAAGCAAAATATGCTACAGCAGAAAAATGCATAATGTATTTTACAGAAAGTTGGAAAAATGTTGAAGACAGCATAAAAGTATCTTACATAGCTACTGTAATAAGTTTATTGGCAGACCGTGAACTTTCATGCAAGTACCTAATACCCCTATCATAATAAACATGAAAAAAAATGAAACCAGTTACCAGCTTATAGGACAGTAGCTTCTCTGTAAGTCAATATGGAAAATAGATACACAAATAGAGAAATTAAATTGGCCATGCCACTTCATTCCAAAGTATTGTTCTACAAAACAGCTCGCATGACAATGTTTGGAGATAATAAGCAGATGGCCAGGGGCTCTGACAGAAAAGATTTTGTAAAATGAGGTTGTTAATTTAAGAGAGAGTATTTATTTATTTATCAGCTCTACAGCCTGAGTCAAAACTCTTTGGAGCAAACAGGGAAAATTTCCATTGGTTTCCTATGGTTTTACAGCGGTGGTCCTGCATTCACTGGAGTCAACAATAAAACTTCTGTTGACTTCAGGAGAGCAAGGTCACAGCCTGGACTGTCTCTTGAGAAGGAGATTTTATAAGGGAGGGAAGAAAAAGCAAAAATATGGAACTGCTTAGGCCACATACTTGAGTTTGCCATGTATCTCATCTGAAAAACCAAGCGGACAGATCTTCTATTTAATTAAAGTCATTATTCACCAGACATCAGATGCCAAGATAAGAGTAGAAGCCATTTTTTCAGAAGGTGCATCATAAGGATGGACTAGATCCAGCTCCAACGATCAATATGTAGCTGAAAGAATTTCTATTTTCAAGCTCAAATCCTGCTTCCTTTAGGTGAACAGTCCTGTTAAGTCAATACCAAAATAAATCAAACAGGTTGGCCCAGAGCATACAGCCCAAAAAACCTGGGGCTCACTTTCAATTATCTTGTTTGAATTTTAAAGCAGTGACAGTGCTCCCCTGAAGTGCCAGGAGTCAACAGGCACACAAATGTTTGCAGAAGGCAAAATTAAGTTACTGTGCTGGTTTTGGCTGGGATAGAGTTAATTTTCTTCACAGTAGCTAGTGTGGGGCGATGTTTTGGGTTTGTGACCAAAACAGTGTTGATAACACAGGGATGTTTTCGTTACTGCTGAGCAGTGCTGACGCAGAGTCAAGGCCTCTTCTGCTCCTCACCCCACCCCACCAGCGAGCAGGCTGGGGGGACACAAGGAGTTGGGAGGGGGCACGGCCGGGACAGCTGAACCCAACTGACCAAAGGGATATTACACACCATATGGCGTCATGCTCAGCGTATAAAGCTGGGGAAGAAGAAGGAAGGGGGGGACGTTC